GACAATATAAGAAAACATCTACAATCCTGCAAACTTTTAAGATTTTATTTTACACTCAGTTAGAATTACAGAAAATGGTTATTCACCACACACATCAACAAATCTTTGAACAACTTCAACCAAACATGACAAGTCATCAAATGAATGAGAACCTGTGTACTATTGGTTGGGTGGCACTTTAGGTGCCTCCATCATATCCTCGTGTTGTCGTCAGTTTGCAGAAGCTGCAATTCAAATGACATTTCAATTATCATCCCATTCGTAAAAAACAGAATGAACCAGTCATGAAAACTGCAAACATATTGAAAAAGAATCTATATCTGAACCAAAATTATTCTATTTTCTATCTTTAGGTGGTGCTGATTAACAATAATATCATGACCACTTTTACATCACTTCCCCATACTCACTCGAACACTTTCCACGTCTGGTCTCTGCCATTTGTTTTTGGATAAGATTCCAAAGACGACCAATCCAAAGGCCACGAGGAGGATGCCGAGGAAATTTGCAAACTTTGCTTCCACGGGCAGCGTGCTGTACGGCTCCGCACTGCTGTCATTACTGAGGCAGATGGAGAAATATAGTCTGGGAATGATTTCTATTACGTGAGCATTACTTTGTTCATGATATGTGAGATGATGTGTTTTCCAGTTGAAACAGTTTTCTGTACAAAAATCCAATAGCCAGGCCACGAGGGCCATGATCACCTCACAACAGTTTCTTTTGTTTTTGGCTCGCAGTTTGTTTAAAAATTGATTTTCAGATTTTTTTATTGATTGGTTTTAAGGCTCTGCCTGCTCTGTAGGGGCTTTATCTCTGATTATTCGATCCCCTACTTACATGTGTGTGGCTTGTAATCTTTTGGGAAGGGTCTGCTTTCACTTCGAGGATCTGGGCTGAAAACTAGGGCGGCAGAGCGTTTGCTATCAGAGCCTTAACACTCTGAAATGGATTGCCTGAGGAAATAAGGCTGTCCGAGGCGATGTCTTCTTTTAAATCTCAGCTAATGAATACAACTATAAATTAGCTTTTTTTGGAGATCATATTCCTGAATTTAATGTACCAGGCTATTTTTGGTCCTTTATCTTTATCATTCCTATTAAAATCACTTATGTACTTCCTTCTGTATTTTAAGGATTTTATATTGT